GTAGTGTTTGTATGTTTCGATCTGTATGTTGTTTGTACTATACCTGTAAAAAGAAAATAAATAAATAAAATACAAAAAAAAAATAAATAGCTATTAGGGCAACCCCTATTAAAGGAGTTTAAGCGACTGGTGAACTGACAGCTCAGGCTTTTTTACGAAGACTTGATATGAATTTTTGGTGGTTGTTCAAGTTTTGAACATTTTGCGCGCAACTAGGAGAAAAAACGCTAGTGCTTAGAACTACTGGCACGCGTAGAGAAAACAAGCACGGGTGACCTCATCTCTTTTTTCCAGTTTTTATATAGTCAATATCCTACAATAATATGGCACTACAACAATTACGCTATAAGATAAATAGTTATTAGGGCAACCCCAGTTAAAGGAGTTTAAGCAATTGGGGAACACAGATAGTCAATGAGTTAGAGATCTCCGACAATTTAGCTTTAAATGTGGCAACGTTCTGTAGTTGCAGAATTTTTGTACTGTGAACTAAACATCTGTTTTTAAAGCAACAATTCAGTTAACGCGTTCGTAAGATGCAGAAGTCTAGATGTGTTGAATGCGTTTACAACTTACTCTGGTGTTCTCTTAACTAAAAGCGACGTCAGAATACGATAAATTTTTAAAATTGTTGTTTATTATAAGCGTCATTTTATGCAACACTTGTCACGTCAGTAGAGATGAAGCCGAATATCAGAAAGATACACGTTTTAAAATGCCATTTTTTAGTGAACATTAAAATAATGATGTCCCTAAATCCTTACTTACATTCACCTGGCTAGGGTCTAAAAGGGGATACTCAGAATCAGAGATTTGACCAAAATACATGCAGTGCGTAGATTCCAGCAAAACATTAAGACATTAAATATTTTATAAGCCATTAGTGAATTATTTGCACTGTAAAGTAGCAGTACGTGTTCACCTGTCAAACAGCTAACAGGTTCTTGATCATCGAATCTAGTAGATTCGTCTCCTTTTCAGCCACTTGCAGGGTTCGCTTAACACTTTACCGTGTTCCCGAAACCGAGCGGAAGAAATAACCCCTGGAATATTACTTGCCCTGAAACATCGCTGACAACACCATCGACAGCAATCCAGAAGGTCAGTAATCTAGTAATCTTGTATGTGTGGTATATCAGAATTCTGAAAGTCGCAAATGACAACTGTTTTCAATTCCTTTCTTTTTAATAGTTTCCAGCGGTGGGTTTCAGTACGACTCCAAAGCCTTTTTATTTTCACTGGTAAACAAGCCAGGATGGGCACCTGTTAAACTGCCTCAGACAGGGAAATACAGTTCAAGCACAAGATATTCCTTACATTTTTACCCTTCATATGGCCCTACATTCGGAGGAGGATATGACATTAAATTGTCCGACTACGCCTCATCCAATACCAATTCTTACAGCAGACTTGGCTATACTTACGGCCCTCCTAGAGGATACAGCTTGGGCAGCACTTTCGCCCAAACATTTATGGCAGGATCACACCACTTCCAACCAGACGAAATAGAAACATTTTACGAAACAATCTAAACATCCAGATAATGAATAGATCCGCTTTACTGCTTCAATAAATATATATAATGATCATTTCCAGATAAGCCTATAAAAATTGGTGGCTGTCTCAATAATATAAGGTCAGGAATAATTAGGTAGAATAAAAAATTATTGCCTCATGATAAAAATAACTCAAAGATGGTTTGTAAGCTATTTGCTCCCCTTGCGTTTAATGAGACAGTGCAAACTCGTTTTTTTCCGTTTTATTTACATTTAAATGCTAGAGAATTTTAATGTATTGTGACGTCCCAACAAAAATTCCTGAAGGTCATGCCACTTTGCGGAAAACCTGAAAAATGGATAGTTGCCCTAATGATAATTTCAAAAATTTGAACTTTACTGTACTTTCCTTATTTCCTCGTCGGCTGAAACTTGAGAAATTTTTAGAAAATAGGCTCGATTTCCGGCCGCTGTTCTTGAAATGAGCTTACGCTCTTCTACAAAAACGGCAAACGGATCCGAAAAAGCGGCCGAAATCGACCTAGCATGTATCGATTATTTTTTTTCGCTTAAACTGACATTTAAGCGAGAAAAATCCTTATTTTGGAAAGTCTCTTTTTTGCAAAACAAGAACTTTATATAGTTACGCTTACAAAACTTCGTGTACAACACTTCGTGACTGGTAAGAATTTCTCCTTTATCAGTTTCATAAACAAAGAGTTCTATTTTCTTTTCTCGGGTAACTGATTCTATAAAAACGTTAGAAAACGTTTCATTGTGTATGCATTATTTCAGCATAGCCTGCAGATAAAAACACTCTCAATAGTTGGACAAACCCGAGAGAAAGTTGAGGGTTAGCATAACTGTGTCGAACATCGTGATTAGTCAGGCTATGCAAGCACGGAAAAAACGTTTTTTATTGCCTAAGTGTGGCGATGAGACTTGCTCGAGCAGCAACACTCAACACAAAATGACGGTTCCTGCATTGAAGTAGTCTAGTAAGCAAAGTTGAGTGAAGGACCTTGATACTGGAGTTCTTGGTAGATAATTAAACTTCTAAGCGCCACGTTTGTTATTGGCATCAGTAACCGAGCTTTCCTATATTGCGTATCGCCAAGGACGCCGATTCCCAGATATTATTGACTTGTGTTGACATGTCAAAATAGTGAATAAGCAATAGTAAATTAAATGTTTTTTATTTGTATTTGCATGACATGATATAATTACGAGAGGGTGGTCAGTAGAGCTTGGATTCGAGACAGCAAAGCAAACCTCCAGACGAGGTAAGGTCGCAAACAAAGGGATGGCAAAACTTGCATTCCATAACTTCATTGTACTTGGGAATTTTCCCGAGGACGTACCGAGATTTTAGTTCTAATTTTGAAGTAATCTTTAAACTCTGAAACTTACCAAAGAGCTTGTTACTGTGTGATGCGGTACCTACTACTGAATTAACTAACAGAAAAAAAATAGCTATAAATATTTACCACATTAATTGGCCTGTTTATGCACTTGTCAGTAAAAACCAACACCTTCCCGCCACATTCCTCCACACCGGGGAAACATTGAGCATGTGTGAAGGTTAAGGGAATTGAATCTTCGCCTTACCCAAGAAGATGCGGTATTTTAAAATTTATTTGAGTCATTCCCTTGTATAGGCGGTTGGGATTTGGAAAATTCTGTGCACAGCCTTAGAATATTTTCTTAAAGTCAGATTTCAAAGACTAATGTTAAAGCGAAGCCCACGCGCTTAAGCTCGCGTAACGGAGTCCCATATAAAAAAGGAAAATGAAGACCTATCAATGTCAGAAATTTTAGTTGTGACGTCAGCATACGCCCGTCCGCCAGTACTTTTTTTTGAGTTTGAGGTTAACCCTTTAAACCCTAAGATCAAAATTTGAATTCTCATTAATTCATCATGTGTGATCAGGTCTGTAATTCTCATGACCACTCTGTTTTACAAAGCATTGATATTACAAGGAGAAATTTGATGCTGATCACTCTTAGGGCTTAAAGGGTTAAAAAACTCAGTAGGGTATGGAAGTGAGTCACAGACATTGACGTTGCGTTTCGTTTTAACGCAAAATGAACGAGTTAAGAGTTACTAAGAGTAAAAATCTAGATAGAAGTTTCTTATGATCGGCTTAAGACAAAGTTTTCGGAAATAAATTTCTAAGGCTTTACTCTTTTGTTTGGTCAAGTTTTTGGTCACTGTCCACAGGACAGGTGAATTCATCATTGTTTCTGGTTCATCCAGGTAGAACACCTGGCGCCAGTTGTTGGAAGGCGGATAGCGCTATACACTGGATAATCACTTCCTATCAGATAGCACAATTCGTTTCCCCAATACTTATCCACTGGAGAGCGATTTTTCCGGTGGATAGAGCTATCCACCTTTTAAACAACCGGGGCCTGGCATAGTATTGTTCCTGAGCGCTTCTAGGATATATGACAAGTGTAACATTTCGACCCGTGGAAAAAATATATTAGGGAAGTTGTTCTTCATCCTTTGTGCTTCATTCAGGTAGACGTCCTGGCATATTATTATGCCTGAGCGGTCGTAGGATATACATGTATAACAGGTTTTGCAGTCCGATCCATTAGCGCCCCACGCCATCGAAAAGAAAAATCAAAATCAGTCAATAGATAAAGGTCGGTCAATTTTTGACATGCGAGATGTGTGGAGAAGTAGATTTTTGAATGGAGACTCCATGTTGTTGCCCTACGGAGAGGTGGTGGCCGGAAGCCAACAGCAACATCTGTTAGCGAGTTTAGCTGCGAAAGCGTGAAGTCATCCCTCGAGAAACCCATAAACATTAAATTAACACTTTCCCAAATACAAGGACTGTCTCTACATGACAGCTCTCTCGACTACCAGGTAAATGTCGTGTTACGCAAAAAATTAGAAGCTATTGACAGAAAACGGAGGATCCTTTCAAGGTGAAAAGTTTTTAGCTGCTCTAAGACTTCACAAAAGTAAAAACTCGCGACCGGGAGGAGCAAAAATTTCTTACTTTTAAAATTTGGTGACGTCACGTGAAAACCAAGAGTACATTGAATCAAAAGAGCACCGCATTTCCCAGCAGTGGGAAATTGTGAGCAAATTAACCATTAGCCATAATAAGGAGTGAAACTATTACTGTAGTTACTATCAAGACATTTAGTCCCCTTGCATTTGTTCATTTACCGATTATCATATCTGTTAACAAACTGACAATGCTAAATAGTGCTCAGCTTAATTTAATTATATTACTTTTTTTTGGCTTTTGTCCGCGGGCCGGGGTAGGGTAGCTCTAGAACAAAGAGGTAGTAGCACCCAGCCCCTCTCTCTGCCCCCCCACCAGTTCATTCAAATTTCAGAGACATCTTTTATTACATGTCGAGGATCTGAAAACAGTAAAAACAACAACAACAACAAGCTTTTAACACCACTAATGGCAAATAAGATAAAACACTGTACTGCGCATACTGACACTGGTGGCGATAATTTTTACCAGTCCTCTGAAGAGAGGTAAAAAAATGCGTTGTATTCCTCTTTTGCGGTTTAAATAGCCATTATGAAAACGCTTCTCGGCTAAAAAGGCGCTGGGCTAAAAAAAAAAAAGATGCTAGTCTTAAAACTTACTCAAATTTCTTGGCACAAAATGATCATTTGAAGCCCAAATTGTCTCTATGATGTCTTTTTGCGAAGAAAGAAGAACGGTGATTCCCCTTTTATTATTAGTGTTTTAAGGTGGCTCGATACAGTTTTTCAGGGCCAATACCTCCCAAGTTTGAGCATAAACTACGTCGCCATAAACAAAGTTTTGGAAAAATTGCCACCACAGTTGTATTAGATAAAGATGAAAATTTGTTATGATCAGGGTTGCAACGGCATCGGAGTTGTCATAGCAACGAAATGACGCTATTATCTATTTTACTTGCAGCAGTATATCTCGGCACTGGGAACTGTTCTTCCAAAATCGTTCACGGGAGCTTTTTCCTCCAATAGCGGCCTCGATGTTCGTGAGGTTTAAGCGAAATCTGTAAGAGCGTTATCGAGATATTTTGGGATGAGGTTTTTGTGGTTAGAAACACAGTAAAAAAATGGACAATATTGTTGTTTGGCCGTTATCTGTAGAAAATGAAGCGCTTTTTGCATGCAATTTCACCTCATAGTAGTTTCAATCTCTTTAAAAACGTGTGTGAAAGATCATGGAGATAGCTCCAGCCGATTACTAGAAAGAAGGGTTTTATTAGCATGTATCGAAGCGCTCTTGTTAGCGGTTTTGTAAACATTTTGGTCTTCTTTAACAAATTAGCGAATAGTTTTTAAACTGCTCGACAGACTTTTTTAAAAATTTAAGATTCTTGAGATTAACCTTTCCTTTATATGACCTTTTAGTTTCAAGATTATTGATATATTGTAAAGCAGTAAAATAAGGGCTACAATTCGTTACTTTTTTATCGGAAGTTTCATTATTACAAGTGAAAGGCTCTCATTATTCAAGACATTGTCTCCAAGTTTCATTTTCACGTGAACAACAGTAACTAACAATGCATTTGACATATGCAAAAATGCTAGCTATTGTTATGTGCGAAAATGTGAAACTTGGAGACAATACCCTGAATAATGAGAGGCTCACATTTGTAAACACAACATTTCTGCCAAAATATTGGCGAATTGTAGCCCTTATTTTACTGCCTTACAATGTATCAATAATCTTGAAACTAAAAGGTCATATAAAAGGAAGGTTAATCTCAAAATCTATCGAGCGCTTTAAAAATTTTTCGCTTTTTTTTTAAAGTAAACCAAAATGTTCAAAAACCGCTAACAAAAGCGCCTCGATACATACTAATCAAATCCTTCTTTCTAGCAATCGGCCAAAGGTATCTCCACGGTCATTCACACACGTTTTTAAAAAGATTGAAACTACTGTGAGGTGAAATTGCATGTCAAAAGAGCTTCATTTTCTACGGATAACAGCCGAACATCAAGATTATCCATTTTGTACCGTATTTCTAACCACAAAATCTTTATCCCAAAATTTCTCGATAACGCTCTTACAGATTTCGCTAAAACTTCACGAACATTGAGGCGACTATTGGAGGAAAAAGCTCCCGTGAATGATTTTGGAAGAATAGTAATGGGCAACCCCAGTTAAATGGGTTTAAGCGACTGGCGAACACAAATCGTCAATGAGTTAGAGAACTCCGACTATTTAGCTTTAAATATGGAAACGTTCTGTAATTGCAGAATTTTTTTACTGTGAACTAAACATATGTTTTTAAAGCAACAATTCAGTTAACGCGTCCGTAAGATGCATAAAGCCTAAATGTGTTACAACTTACTCTGGTGTTCTCTTAACTAAAAGCGACGTCAGGATACGATAAATTTTTAAAATCGTTGTTTATTATAAGCGTCATTTTATACAACACTTATCACGTCCTTAGAGATGAAGCCGAATGTCAGTAAGATACACGTTTTAAAATGCCATTTTTAGTGAACATTACATGATGTCCCTAAATCCTTACTTACATTCATCTATCTCAGGGTCTAAAAGGGGATACTCGGAATCAGAGATTTGACGAAAATACATGCAATGCGTAGATTCTGGCAAACATTATTACATTAAATATTTTATAAGCCATTAGTGGATTATTTTCACTGTAAAGTAGCAACACGTGTTCACCTATCATACAACTAACAGGTTCTTGATGATCGAATCTAGTAGATTCCTCTCCTTTTTAGCCACCTGCAAGGTTCGCTTAACACTTTACCGTGTTCCCGAAACCGAGCGGAAGAAATAACCCCTGGAATATTACTTGCCCTGAAACATCGCTGACAACACCATCGACAGCAATCCAGAAGGTCAGTAATCTAGTAATCTTGAAAATTGCAACAGAATTTCCAAATTGTGTTTAGACACGTAGATTGTTTTCATGCGGAAAAGGAGAAATAAAATGGTCGGGCTTCAATGAATTAAAGGAACCTATTGAGTTTATCAAACATGCAGATAAAAAAGAAGTCAAAGAATGCGCAAATTATAAGAGAAAGTAAAGGAAAAGTTTTTCCTATTCAGGATATCAGTCATCACTGAACTTTCCATAAAAATGTTACCAAATTGACTTGCCCAACTAACTTTCTTAAGCCAGGGCAATTCCAACTCCTTCATGCTTTGCCCTGATTTTTGCTAAACACGTACAGTATCATGATGCTGCTTACAAAATTTTTTCTGAATAACCAAACTTTCCTTAACATGAAGCTTTCCTCTAATCGAATGGTTTGCTTTGTATTTTAGCCNGGTTCGCTTAACACTTTACCGTGTTCCCGAAACCGAGCGGAAGAAATAACCCCTGGAATATTACTTGCCCTGAAACATCGCTGACAACACCATCGACAGCAATCCAGAAGGTCAGTAATCTAGTAATCTTGAAAATTGCAACAGAATTTCCAAATTGTGTTTAGACACGTAGATTGTTTTCATGCGGAAAAGGAGAAATAAAATGGTCGGGCTTCAATGAATTAAAGGAACCTATTGAGTTTATCAAACATGCAGATAAAAAAGAAGTCAAAGAATGCGCAAATTATAAGAGAAAGTAAAGGAAAAGTTTTTCCTATTCAGGATATCAGTCATCACTGAACTTTCCATAAAAATGTTACCAAATTGACTTGCCCAACTAACTTTCTTAAGCCAGGGCAATTCCAACTCCTTCATGCTTTGCCCTGATTTTTGCTAAACACGTACAGTATCATGATGCTGCTTACAAAATTTTTTCTGAATAACCAAACTTTCCTTAACATGAAGCTTTCCTCTAATCGAATGGTTTGCTTTGTATTTTAGCCATAATAATCTCGGTTTCTTTTCCCTTACAATATCATTGTTTTGTGACTAAAAACGGTTATTATCATGACAATGTGTGGAACTGACAGGCACGAAGGAGGAAAAGGATAGAGTAAGGGGTGAGATAAATATTTAGAATAGAACGAAACTAATAATGAAAAGGGCAAGTATCGGGATAAATAGGACGCACTGTGGTCGTTTTTAATTGGGTGGGGGAAGGTTTTGTTTCGGGTCATGGAAATCGAAAGGACAAGTTTAATAGAAAGGGAGCAGGGAAGGAAGACGTCACTGAAAACACCCACTTCGTCCTGCATGCGATGAATTAACGCTCTAGGCGTTTACATGAAAAATATACCATGCACAGCGAGCTAATTGATAAAATTTAGCCATTTAAAAAATATGGCAAACAACGAATACCACCCCTCGTGAGATAGAATAACGTACGCGAGGAGAGGGCTACAAAGAGATTAAAAAAAAAAAAAAACTCGTTCGACGGAGTCGACTCAGAGATATACAAAAAAGCGCTAAAAGTGCAAATTTTGAATGAAGTTGCGACTTATGCAGGTGGTGACAAAAAGGGGTTAGTTTTCAAGATCGCAATAACGAACATACACATAGATTTCCTAGCATCGAAATATGATATTAGGTAGCATTCTGACGCTACGTAAGAATAATTTGAGTCATTTATAACGTTTTTATTAAATAATCTATCACGGCTATTGAAAATTTAGGGTTTGAAATATATTTCAGTTTTAGTGGAATTCAAACATACAGAATTTTTTACTTCTTACGGAGATTGTTTTCTAAATACCAAACTTTAAGTTCCTTAAAAGTGTTGAATTCGGTTTCGTCAATTTCAAAGTTTTTTTGTTTATTGCTGTCATAGTTATATCGATTTTACTTAAAACTACATTTTCACAAATTTTAATTTATAGTCAATTACTGGTGAAAATTTTATGGCTATCGGACGAGGAAAAAACACTTTTAAGGCGATTGAAAAATAGCGGTATGGCCTCTGAAAAAATGTATCGAAACACCTTAAATGTGGCAACGTTCTCTAATTGCAGAATGTTTCTACTCTGAACTAAACATCTTTTTCATGCAACATCGACTTTAGTTAACACGTCCGTAAGATGCGTTTAGTGCGATCAGTGCGTTTACAACTTTCTCTGGTGTTCTCTTTCTTAAAAGTAACGTCATTGAGATAAATTTTTAAATCGTTTTTTATTAAGGGTTATTTTATGCAACACTTTCACGTCCGTGAAGATGAAGTCGAATTTCAGTAAGATACACGTTTTAAAATGCCTTTTTTAGTGAAAGTCATTTCCTTCATTACCTACATTCACCTATGAGATCTCAGCTCAAAAGGGTATTCTCGGAATCAAGGGTTTGACCAAAATACATGCTGTGAGAGATTCTAGCAAAACATTAAAACAATAAATATTTTATAAACCATTAGTGAATAATTTGCACTATAAGGTAGCAATACGTGTTTCACCTGTCAAACAGCTAACAGGTCCTCTCCTTTTCAGGCACCTGCAAGGTTCACTTAAAACTTTACCTTGTTCCTAAAAGCGAGGGTAAGAAGTATCCCCGTGCAATATTAACCTGAAACATCGCGGACAACGCCATCGACAGCAATCCAGAAGGTCAGTAATCTAGTAATCTTGAAAACTGCAACAGAACTTCTACATTGGTTTTTGACACGCAAATTGTTTACATGCGGAAAAGGACAAAATAGAATGGTCGGGCATTTTATGATGAATCAAGGAACCTATTCAGTTCATCAAACAAACAAAAAGAAGTCACAGAATGCGCAAATAAAAAGAGAAAGTCATTTGTAAAAATTGCTCCTATTCAGGATATCAGCCATCAATGAACTTTTCATAAAAATGTTACCAAAGTGACTTGCCCAGGGCAATTCCAACTACTTTATGCCGTGTTTTAATTTCTGCTAAACACAGTCCCATGATGCTGCTTACAAAATTTCTTTTGAGTAAACCAAACCTTCCCTAAAACGAAGCTTTCCGCTAGTCAACTGGTTTGCTTTGTGTTCCGTAGCCATAACAATCTCGGTTTCTTTTCCTTAACAATATCATCCTTTTGTGACTATAAAAGGTTATTATCATGACAATATGTGGAACTGACAGGTACGAAGGAGCAAAAGGGTAGAGTAAGGAGTGAGATAAATAATCAAAATGGAACGAAACTAATAATCAAAAGGGCAAGTATCGAGATAAATAGGACGCACTGTGGTCGTTTTTATTTGGGTAGGGAGAGGTCTTTTTCGGGTCGTGGAAATCGAAAGGAAAACTTTAATAGAAAGAAGGCAGGGAAGGAAGACGACACTGAAAACACCCATTTCATCCTTCAGCGCAGTGACTGCATGCCATTAATTAACGCTTTAGGCGTTTACATGAAAATTGTACTATGCAAGCTAATTATGAAGTTTACCCAGTTAAAAAAATTACGGCAAACAACGAATAGCCCCCGTGAGATAGAATAACTTACGCGAGGAGGGAGAAGGAGAGGGCTGAAACAAATCGTCATTTCAAATTCGGTAAAAGAGTAAAAACACCACCCAAAGGAATAAATTATAGAAAGATCTAGAATATCGGGTTTCAAAAGCACTTGAAAATACTCTGGTATAGGCTAACTCGCGGAAAACTCGAGTCTCAAAATTTTGCAGGTTCTTCGTTTGCGCCCCATATATAATGACATCCTCGGTACACAGACCAATATGATCTTCTTGTTTTAACCAGGTATTCTCGTTTTGCAAAGATGCATGAAAAGGCCGCTGTTACGGGCGTTCTTTTCTCGATCTTCTTTCTTGGTCTGATCCGCAAAGCAGCAACTACAGATCAGTGTAACGGACCTCGCCAGATACCCATGCAGGGCAAGATGCTGAAGGGACACATCTATGAAACCCGATGGGTACGATCCGGGTATGCGGAGTGCTTGTTTATATGCAGAGAGGAAAAAGTCTGCCAAAGCTTCAACTTTGTGGCTAATGAAAGCAAGTGTGAGTTCAATAATCGCACAAAGGAAGCCTGCAGTCCTGAGGATTTTGTTCCCGACCTTCATCGTCTTTATGTCAAACTTGACGTCAGTAGAGGTAAAGAACTTTGAAACTGTTTTAAACGGTATACATCCGCTTTTTAAGCATTTATCACCTCGAAACAACTTTGTTTCACTTTCAGATAGATTTTTTAGTTATTTTGTTGGCTTTAAAGGGGCTATATCACAAAGAAAATTGCTGTTTTAAGTCAATTCTGTGCTGAAGTCATTACGTAGTGCCTTTAACCTTAAACAGAATCAGTGCTCCTGTAGAGTAACGAGGAAGATATCAAACATACTTCATCAACATAATTTTTTTCATGGCACAGCATTACAATTTGAAAAAATTGGCCCATTTTTTTTTTCAGTTCAGTTCAATCCATGTTCATCCTTGCCATCAGCCGCAACGGACACCAGGAAACAGTTTCAATGCGTATAAAATACACTCTTAAATACCAAAACTGGGCTATTATTTTTGGAATTTAATTGATCCGAGTATACGTTGTAGCATTTTATAACGATGACAAAAAGCTTGACGTAGCTCTTTTCAGTTCTGTTTTGATGCCAACAGTAAATCCATAGAAAGGTGATAATTCAGAGCGCTTAGTATAAAAGCACGATCCGATCAAAAGCATCGCTTCAAGGCAAAAAAACCTCTCTCCTCCCCTCTAGTATTACAAATTTGTCACGCCGAAGATAAAACGATCATGCACAGACTGTTCGGTCTTTTTTCGGTAGCATCACCTAGGACAAAGGGCTATTGTTTTGGTGAATTGGACCTGGTACAATAGATCATTTCTTGATACGACATGTCACACAAGGCCACACCTAACGAATTGACGAGAGCCCGATTACTTGCAGACAAATTAGAAACCAAAATTAAATAGTTTTAAAGTCCCTTTATTGCGTTTAGGTTTAGCCTGTGTCGCGCGCGCCTTACGTTACCATCCCCTTTCCACTCCAAACGCCCGCTTTTCAGGCTATATGGGATTTAATTTCGTTTTGTCATGCCGAAAAGGAGATATTTCCTTCTACCTGGGTGCTGTTGTCAGTTTTGAAAAACGACCTACGCTTGTTCCTGTCAAAGGTTTTCTGAAGTTGTAAGATTAAATTAACCTATATTTACGCAGCAACAAACATTCAATGTTTTCGCTTAGCGCCTCTCTGGAAGTGACATTGCTGATTACATACAAAATCACGGACGAGCAGGAGTCTCGTAGTGCGAAGGTCGAGTGTAGGGAATTTAAAACGATCTTTTTGGGATAAAAAAACATGTCAAACTGAAACACCTTAACAAAAAATACCCGCAACAATAGACATTTTAAAAAAGAACTGAACCAAAAAATATAATTTTATTTGAACGTATGTAATCATGGTAACAACGTGAACATTGAACTGTTGATTTTAAAGTGTGCAATATTTAGACGGCTTGTTTTTTGTAAATTCTAGTTCCCCTTGGTTCTATTCCTGAGCTGCCAGCGACATCATGTCAGGAAATAAACAAAAACGAAGGCAAAAAATTGGACAGCGGCAAATACTGGATATCTTTAAGTGGAACGATTGTTCATGTTTACTGCAATATGAGTACCGTGCCGGAAGGTAAGTTCAATTCTTGCCCTAGTATTATTATCATCTATAACAAATATCACACCTGTAATGCCAGTTGAGGTACAAAATTTAATTCTGGGACCGCAGCCTTACAAGAGGTCTAGCGTCACCAATGCAACTGCCACAGGACGTTCGCAAAGACCTTTGGTATGACGAATTTCCTGGCTAACCTTTATCTTCAGAAATTTATTGTCTTCTAGTGAATATTCATTGCTCTTTGTCGCTTCTTCGTTTACTGAAGTCTAGTTCGAGCATCTCGCTCAGTGCTTGTGGAGTAACCGTACCATTTCTCCATAACTTTTCTCATTTCTCTCTTTTTATCATAAAGTGGTGGTCGAGGTGTCTACCTATGAACCAACTCCTTTGCAGCAACTCTGTGGCAACTGACATCTGTATTGCTCGAAGCCGCACATATACAGAGGTGCAATGATTAGTTATAAGTGATTTGGTTAATTACGCGGCGATCATATTTATTACTTTTAAAGCTTATCTGAAGATCCGGTGCATGAATAGGCCAGTCATATGCTCAATTCGAAGGGCAAGCACATTATTATTACGCCTGAATCATAGCTCACACAGATTCGTCCGGCGCTACAAAGCGTTCAACACGCGATGAGGAAGTCTTCCTTTACGACTTTGGTCTTCCCTCAGCCGAAGGAACAGAAAATACAGAAGCACAAAACAGACGAAAGCAAACAGGTGGAGACATAATAATCCACTTGAGCTAAGCTGATGATCCGGGCCCGTTGGCGCGTACAATAACCCACACTATAGTCAACACTACTGCTCATCCAGGAATGGTCTGATGGCGAAAGGGACACCATTTTCACTTCCTTATACGTCTATTCCTGCAGTTTGAGGAAATCAGAAGACCGATCCTGCACCGGTTATTCTCCTGCGTGGAGAGTACCCACACAATAGCCAACACTATTGCTCATTCAGGCAAGGTCTGATGGCGAAAGGAACACCATTTTCACTTCGTCATACGTCTATTCTTGCAGTTTGAAGAAATCAGAGGACCGATCCTGACATTAAGTGACCGTGGAGGCATGTGTTTGGCTGAGATGTTTCCAAAGATGGGCGAGCTCAGGCGTTGGCACGTTTTTGGGTGTGGAAAGTTCTTCTTTTATAATGAATTTCATCGGCAGCTGCACGGGATTCTCTCATTTCAAGTCCATAACGGCTAAATAATCCATTCAAGTCCTTAATGTCGAGCGACTTTGTACCATTGACGGTCTTCACCATTAGCTGTGTATTCATGCCCTTCACCCTGAACGTGGCTGCGATATCGTTAAAAACGAACGAAGCGGTACAACAGGTGTCGAGCTGGAGCATGATACAGTTTGCTGGTGAAGAGAAGGGCTTAGCTTCTTGGTGGCCTCCTGATTGGGAGGGAAGGTTTCGTCATATGGTGCTTTTGAATGTAGACGTTAAAGCAGCTCTTAAAGGTCCTTTGCTGGTTACAAATGTTGGCTCTAATTGCAGGATTGTAGAAGTCAAAGCAAATCGCCTTCTTTTTCCTCTTTGGCACTCGGGTTTTCTTTAAGTATTTTTGACAATCATGACTCTTGGTAGAGGCTAGTGGGGTTGAGTGAGCCAGCGGTTACCTCTGTCACGTGATTGAAGGAGTGATGCGAAATGCGCTTTTCCCCAGACATTTTGCAGTTGTAAGAGCCTTTTCCTTTTCTAGAACGATCAGGTCGAACCGAGGAACCATCCAAATAATTGAGCGCTCCTCGCTGGAGGCCTTGATTGGTCGAAATTTTCACTTCTGCATTAAAAAAGTTCACGAAGTCGGCGGGGGAATCGCCCCTCCTGTCACTCTCCTGTTATTTTATTCTCGGCGCCATCCGCTTTGAAGCGTAACTGGATGCTTTATAAGTGACTATTTTTTACAAGTTGTGAAGATGGTTGAGAATAGAAAGGAGGGTTAGAGTTAATATTGCGCTCTGACACTGACTAAGCAAGAGGGAAAATCTGTATAATTCCCTCTCATGCCCTGGTTGGATGGAGGTCGTTAATCTTCTTAAGGTGCCTAGGCTGGGGCTGGACATCTTGTAAAGGTGCCCATTCATAGCGTCCGGGTAGCCACTTCGTCAAGGTAGAGACATCCGTTGAAAAGGTCCTTGGGTTCTTTGGGTAAATACTGCTCTAATTATTGTAGACTAAAACATCATATGCGCTGAATTTAGTTTCTACTTGCCAGTCACAACTTGGTTTGAATTAGGAATACTCCAATGGATCCCCATTTACCGTGGTCAGTGTCAGTGAAGGCAGTAAATTCTGTAATTGTAAATAAAGTTTAAATTATTCACAGTCTTTGACTCGCCACTTATTCGGCGGCGTTGACCTTAAGACTCTGACTCTGTCTGCATCGATCAATTGGTAAGAAGATCTACTAGACGGTTGCGAACGAGTGATAGTGTAGAACGTATTCAACCAAATTGAGATCTAGTTCCAAACTCTGTTCGATGGTCTCTTTCGCAGATGAGACTCCAGCCTAAAGTTTGCTGTATAAAGAGTCCTCAAACCTCTCGCTCTGGTGGGCGTGCCAATCGTTCGCTCCTTCAAATCATCCTCAGTCTGAAGATCGTCCAAAAGTGCAGCGTCATTTGTCTTACGTTCTAAAATGTAATACGAAATGAAGCCAGATTCTTCAAACGACAACCGTTTTTTAGCTAGTCGGTAAAGAATCGATTCCATTTCTTTACCGACCAACTGAGAGTCTGTCCACCAAATGTTAACGATGATCAATAATTATAGCTCTTTTCTTTCTGGGTGCGCTGCCTTAGCCTTAATTGTTACTCTGATTGCTTCAGCGGTGTCTGTAAGATCCAAGCTGTCGGCCGAACGTGTCGCTTTCCGTTCTCACTTGTTCACAAATTTGATGTCTCCCAATTTCCTCGATTGGATCCATAACGTCTAAGGAATTGTACTGCAAATTGGTCACCGTTTTAACGCGCTTTTCATTTTCTGATTAAATCAATTACGATCAGTGCGGCTGCTAGACTAAAACAACATTAAATGTGCACGTTACATGAAAGCAATAGACAAAGGTAGAATAAGAAAGGAAAAGTAAACGAAGCAAAGACCTTGAATTAGTTGGACAGGAAAAAATTAACCGCAGTTGAAATCTGAACGGAACAGATTACTGTTGACCTTTAAAGCAAGATGCCCTAAAAGAAATAACAAAACTTAGACAGATCAGATCTTAAAACACACACATAAAAACCTAAAAGAATTAAATACCTAAGAAAGTCGAACAGAATATGAACTATAGCAAAAAAAATGAAAAGAATGGGAAAACAAAATAAAGAAAAAATGCACGAAACGTTTTGTAAGAAACGCGAGGACGAGTATATTTGTGCTGGATTACGACAGCAACAATTATTATATATGGTGAATTAGAACTTTCGTAGATCGCTCAAATATATGGCTTTTTATAAATGAGGCGCATGAAGTAAAAGAACTTGCTAGCAACAAGCTTTTTCAATGTTAAAGTAAGTTTTTAGAGGCCAAAATGAAGCCAAATTCAAGAATGTGTCCCATATCAACTCCATACATGTAAAGACATTGTACTGACTACTAACAGCAATACCCTATTACAGTCCAATATAAGCCAAAGGTGTTTCTGAAAGGCCTCAATTAATTCAAGTAATGATACAAAGGCCGTTTTGGGGGTATGTGGTAGCATTTCACTTATATAAGATCAGGTCTGGAATTAACCGGATTTATGTAAAAAACAAAATGTTTATTATTTGTCTGAATTTGCTAATACGTGCCTCTTGAGATTTCAAGAGCGTCTTAACATTTTTCTATCTATTTCAGGCACGATATCTCTTTGGATTCCTCTCTATTGAAATTTTCTTTTTGATTCTTTTGACCAGACATTGATGAATGCAAGAGCGAAAGTCATGATTGTCACGTAAATGCAAACTGCACTAACACTCTTGGCTCTTATAACTGCTCGTGTTGGCCTGGCTACAAAGGGAATGGGACCATTTGTACAGGTATTATGAAAAAGTTGTTCCTTTCTTCCTTAATAAATATATAGAGGATATTACATGGCCGCGCGGAGATACAAAATTTCTCTTCGAGTGTTAAAAAATATTTCAGTCGTTCTCTGCGCTCACTCGTGAAATATTTTCAACACGAAAAGAGAAATTTCGTATCTCCAAGCGGCCATGTAATGTTCTATTTATTATATAAACACCAATGAAATACCAAACTATTTCACTGAAACAGTTTTTTTCCTGAAAAAGGCGCAATTTATTTTGTAGCCATAGCAACGGTGATATTTTCACATGTAAAAATAACATGTTATTTTCACGTGTGAAGAGATCATGTTTTCGCGCGAAAGCTCACCTGGTATTTCATTGGTGTTTATATAATAAGAAATAACACCTAGTAAAACCAAAGTTTAGGGAATGAGGACGACATAGATCGAAGGTTAAAACACTCTTGCTGCAGTAAAGGCAGTGCTTGGCGGAAGTTTTATGTGATCGAAGATCAAAATACGTGTGATCAGGTTACGAATGATAGAAGGTCCAAACGCGTGTGATCAAATTACACTCTACGCATTCAATTCGTTCTTAGTGGAAATCCAAACTAATGTTAGCTGCAAATCGTGACGCTCATACATAATCGCAACCTGAAGGTGGCATCGCTGGCTCCTCTTGTGGCCCGCACTTAGGCAACGAGTTGCGCAGCGCTAATATGGTTAATTATCTCATAGCCAACAACCACGAGAATCTCCCTAGATTATCTCCTGGTCGTCTCACTTTAGACAAGTAGGAAAGAGCCTTACATGGGAACGAGGTTGTAATCTCAATTGGATTCTACTTTTCTATCCGCCACATTTCAGTCATTTGTGTTGTAGTTCTGCATTAATCGAGAAATATATAACTCATCAAGATTCTCTGAATCTACACTGTTCGAATATTTGAAAGCTGGGTGCATTTACAAAAGTTAAACT